TGTATGCCATATATGCCGATCAGTTGGGGTGGTGTCAGGGGCGTCAATGTAGGCATATGCCATACATGGAGTGTTTACAAAACAGTTCACTCATCGAATCCAACTCTCGCCTAATCTGTCCTAACCGCCCACCGGCGCATGGGTGGCCGTAGGGTCCAAAAAGGGGAATGGATGCTGAATGATGCTAAGGTACATTAACAGGTGTCAGCCACACAACTTAACTTGTTTCCCTACTAATGGCCAGTCAGCCACAACAACAACAACAACGACAACAACAACAACAACGACGACGACAGCAACAACAACAACAACAACAACAACAGCAACAACCACAACCACAACCACACAACGACAACAACGACAACAACGACAACAACCACAACAACAACAACAACAACAGCAACAACAGCAAGAGCAAGAGCAAGAACAACAACAAGAAGAGCAAACACAAGAACAAGAACAACAACGACACTAACTAACAACGCTAACAACACCTTCCAGTTCCTGACAGGCACCACTTGTTGTAGCCTTTCCCTGATGCATCCAACACGCCTGTACGGGGACCTGCTCGCTGATGGGCTGCAGGCTGGTGCCGAAGACCCGAGACCTGAGGGTCATCATCACACATCGAGGTTCCGTCGAGTCTACCATCACTCTACCAGGACCCTCCGAACTCGGGGCGTCCCTTAGCGGTGAAGAAGGGGGGGTGCGAGATGATTTCAAGAAACTCGTCGGAGAGGCTCGAGAATTAGGGGCTTCCTGTGCTAACATCTACCTGTACCTTCTGGCGCTAATGAACGGGGGGGCACTCTCACACCTGCCTGCTCATACCCTAGGCTCCTGCCACTGAGGTTGTGCTTGGAGCCCATCCGGCATGTGCTTGGCTTGGGAGACTCCCAACCCCGCCAGCTTCAAGGTCCGTGAATTCAAGGACGTCTCCTCCGTCCGCCATCTCCTGAGCTCCATGCGTCAACCCAGCCCACGTAGGCGCTGCTTGTGCACCCAGTTGTGGGCTGCTGGGTGGCTGGGGCGTACTCAGCGGAGGGCTAGGCCTTCGCAAGGCTGAGGCGAAGAAAGGATCCAATGAGCTCCAGAGGCGTCAGACACTAGCAGTGGAGACAAGAGTCAGGGTTCGGGTTGGTGAGGATTGATGGGGATGTAGGATCTCTCTCTCTCTCTCTCTTTCATCCATCTCTCCCCCTCTCCCTCTCCAAGAGTTTTGCCATAAGGCGAGTCATTGTGGAGAGTAGAGTTGTGCTTTAAGACACCAATCTAAGATGTAGTTATATACTTCTCTCTATGTCCGCTGGATCACAACATCAACATATCATGCTGTCACAAAAGCTGTTTGCACCCATGCGTTGCTTCCACACCCTGCCCTCTGTGAAATCAATCATAATGGATAGTATAGTGGTTGATAAGAACCGCCATGCCAAACTGAAACATATATATGTTAGAAATTGTTAGAAGGTCCATCTATAATAATATGTCTTGGCCGCGCTCTCCCTGGGGGAAGGAGAAGAGAATTTGCAGGAAACCGCAAACAATCTGCGGTCTTCTCTCGTAAGGGGTTGACGATCTGCTCAATTGCCACCGTGCTCAAACAATTTCGATGTGTCATTGGTTCGTTCTTATTCTTGCACAACTGGAACCAAACCAAGTATAAGCACCAACCTTCAAGCAGTAGCCTTCGAAAGACATGTCCCATCATGTCAGGCTTTTAGTTCAAGAAGGCCGCCTCTCTGGCCAGTCTCTCTGGCCAGTCTCATCCTCCGTTCATGCGGACCTGGGTGTGTATACTTCCAATTGGAAGACCGACACGTTCCGAGCCCTTGAGTCCGGTCACATCGACCACCGAACATACCCCCCATTCAAAACCGAGGTCAGCTGACCTGAAGGACCCGGAAACTGGGGGCCCTGGGGGGTACCCAACTGGGAGAGTCGAGGTCGGGTCGGGTTCTTCCACCTCGGAATCGCACGGCGGTTCCTCCGCTCCGCCCCGGCCTCCCATAGCTCGTGGCCGCGGGCGTCTCACCCCAGGCACCACCGGGGCTAGGGCCCGGGGATCGGGCGAACATGGGGTGAGCATGGCATGCGGCCGGTGGGGCCGGGGAAGAGGAGAACAAAAGGAGTTTAGAAAGTGGTGGATGAGTGGCGCAGTTTGGAAGATCTATATTCCAATTCATTTGGGTTCTTGAAGGATCAACCTACGTTGAAAAAACAAGTTTCGTTTCCTTCACTGTGGCAATGATCTCTGTCTGCCAGGAAAACACTTAGGCAGGACCTTGGCTCTTTCGCATGTTTCCTTTCTCCCGTCCTAGCCAACGCTCTTGGACTGCCTGGCTGAAAAAATCTCAAAACAACGTGCAACCAAACATTCTGTGCTCTTTCAAACCACTCCACCCACATCCCGCTGTCCGAGCCATACCGCAAGTTGGCCCCATTTCCGCACGACGGTCGTTCACCTAGCTCTGGATCCGCCATGACCCGCGTTCCAGTTGGCAGGACCAGTGCCAGTGTAGACCTATTGATTCAATAGGTCTTCTGATTCTTATTGATGATACTTCAACCGCCATGAACCGCCCATATTCTTTCACCTATATTTTACCATCATCCTAATCCTGGCGGGGGTTGATGAATCAAGTCATGAATCTTCCGGCAGTGGTTGTGAGTCCACCTGGACCTAGCAGATGGAGAGTGCAACTCACATCTCCACCCTCTCGCAGCTCATCCCCCCTTGGTGGTACAGGTCAGGACCTCGTTTGACTGACCCAAAGGCTGGACCCGAACCCAACAGGTCACAGGTCAGGACCTCACGGTGATGAGGGAGCGAACAGGAGTGTCCTTCCGGCTTTGGAGTCTTCATCTCAACCCCGAAATCCCTACCAATAGAGGTTGAAGGACCTGAACTAGCCTATCCCATAGGTACTCCAGTAAGGTCCTAGTGACCTGGTCACTATCCACCTCTCTTGGTATAGGTCCGATGGGACCTCCTGGTGTCAGTGTTCTTCTCCGTGAACGCGCCGTTCGGCTCAGACCCATGTGTTAACTGTTGTGTCGGTTGAGGTGACATGTACAGTCCATCTGCTGGCAAGACAGGTCCCAAACTGCGCAAACCACATACACAAGATACTGCTAGCCACTCCAAATGCCGAAAAAAGAACCAAACGAGTCATGGATGTGTTCTTGGTGAGCGGTCTTTGCTGTAGAACTTTTAAGGTACCGTGACCGTAGACGGGTCCTACAGGGCGTTGCCCATCAACGACCCGAACAATCCATCGACGAACGTCAGCGATGTCCACATCGATGTCCACATCGAGGTGTCTGATTAAAGATCGGCATGCACAAGACGACGACAACAACAATCGTTCAACATGAGAAACTAAAGCTGTGATACGTTGAGCGGTGGAGACAATTCTATCCTTCCTCCTCAAGAAAGAACTCTGGACAATCAAACAACCTGAGCTTGCTGAGCTTATAGTACGACCCTTAAGAGTTCCAAGTCCCAGTTCTGCGACTGACACACAAACACACCCAACAGGGTCTCACAGTATCACACGCTCTCTTTCGCACGTGGCGCACCGCACTTGCTATTCTTTACAACAAGGGTGCTGGGCCCTCGTACTGCCGGGGCTCTGTTTTGCGTCACCCGGTCACCCTGCCAGTAAGTTGTTGGATCAAAAGCAGTTGGGCAAATTCCCAGGTTCACGCAGACTGCATTCAAAGTGGCCTATACAGCCTATACCAGCACCCGACTTCACGGGTCCTGCCACGTTTAAGTCTTCAAAAGCCACCATTTCGGAGAACTATTGCAGGGCGCTGGTGTAAAGTTCTTCTGTGGATGCACTGGTACCCTCCAAAGATGTGGGTAAACTTGTAAACCCTTCGAAAACCGCACGGAGGGAGGGTCCATTCTAGGATAACAAGAATATACAAGAATAACCAAATAACGCATGTTCTTGGATGACAGGCGGACATATTGATGGTGAAGTGAAAAAAAGCGCGAACCACACTGATCGCTTGGACACAAACTTGTGCATATGAAACAATAGTCAACACATTATAGATATTTATAGATCGTTTATGTTCCGCACGACCTTCCCCCAAAGGAGGTAATCTCTTGAGAATATCTCCTCCAATGGGTGGATTCTGGCGGGTAAAGCATGATGAAGCTGGTTTGTCTGGCCTGGGGCTGCTTCCCAATCAGTTTGGTATTGTGCCCTAGGATAGTCCGCAACAACCAGTTTTAACTTTTGAATTGTGAACAGTGGTCAGGGTTCATTAGACTGCTCCTCGAATTGGATGCCAAAAACCCTCCACACTCCTTCATACAGTGAAGGACATCGTGCATGGGAAGGGTCTTCACGCAAAGTAGGGCTCCGTGTGCACGTGCCATGTGTGACCAGCCACACGGCCACACCACAGCTCTTCGGAAAATCCAGTGAGACGGATTTTGACACGTTCTCACAGGCGACGCGTTCACCCTGACGTTCAGAATAAAGCTACGTCAGATCCCTCCAAAACAGTCGCTCCATCGCTTGGTCTTCAACGCTTTGGTTCAAGATTCAGCTATCAATCCTTTTCAAGGGTGTGATGTCGTCCTTTGATGGTGCAGGGTTGGCCTACCGAACTTCAAAGGTTGTGCAAATGTTCTTCTGTTTGTTCGGGTGGGATGAGCCCTGCAGCATTCCTATTTTTTCCACTGTGTTTTATAGTTTGTGTGTGTGCAATAGGGTGAGTGGAACTTGTACGTTTTGCAAAGTCCCTCGCACCATGTGCAACCCAGGTTGCCTGGTCTTGCCAGCTCTTGCCTGTGCTTAGGCCAGTTGAACAATTACGCCAAATACGCGAGACAACGGCTTTCAAACGGCAACTTGGCTAAGCAAGTATGTCACCAATATGAATCATCCCCACATACCTCCTTCAAATGTACGTTCCATGTATTAACTATTGTTACATAACTACTCTGTCATGGATAGCTAGCTCATAATGGTGATCCCTTCAGAAATGGCTCAATGAGCTCGGGTCGGACGGGCGAACGTACATGTTTCGATCGTCACCGAGCAGGGGCTACTGGTCTCTCAGCTGGGGCCTGACGGAACATGTCTCGCATCGTGCACTGAGCCCGCTTCATGTGGCCACAGGGGGGGCTCGCTCAAAAAAGAATATATAACGCAAACATGTTCTAGAGTTCTTGGCCAGCTGTTGAGAGGACATCAATCCAAATAAACGCCTCGTGGTGTCTGCTTTTCAAGGTGCCATTATACAAAAAAAAAAAAGCTCGCATAAAAGTGCTTACCCAGACACTCCATGGGACTGCCATATATGCCTACATTGACCCCCCTGGCACCACCCCAACTGATCGGCAGTCCTATGGCAGTCCCATGGAGCGTTTGGGTTATAGACATGTGCGAAGATTGAAGGATCCTCTGGTGCAAACTGGCATGGAAGGACGCGCACGAACCGGAACTGGCACCTGCTCCGTCACGGCACGGCACAGGTGACGCAGGAGCTTCCCTACTGTGAACTCCAACACGGAAAGCTGTCGGGGTTGGGGAACTCCCTGTAGCTCGGAACGGCTCCCATATTGAATGGGCAATATGGATACCCCCGGCTCCCTCCAGCTCCCTCCGACTGCCAACAACAACGGCTCACCACCGCCATTACATGGTGGACTGAGGAACTGAGGAACTACCCCAAATCGCCTTCCGTGCGACCACTCTTGTCATAATGGTGGAGCTGGGCTTTGTAGTCTAAAAGCGCCCAAAGATTGTTGATTGGTAAAGGGATGTAAAGGACTATTTGACTCACATGAATTTTGGAACTCGTCTTCGCTCCGCTCCGCCCGCGGTCTCCACCTCCTCCGCTTTTTGGCACATCTCTGCCACCCCTCGCGGCTCGCGGGTCCGGCCGCTCGCAGAACCACGATGTCAGGATCCGGTCGACAGGTAGCCCGGTCTGGATCACCCGACAGGTGCGGTCCGTTCTCAAGCCCCACGGATCGACCTCCCTGCGGTCGGGTGCTCGGATGCTTCGGGGGCGCGGAGGGCGCTAGCGGAGGTCCGTGGTGTTCCGCGGTCGATGGCCGGAAGGGCCCGGACTGATCGGTGGCGGCCGTCGGGGGTGTCAAACGGCTCACAACGGTGGTCTACGGTGGAACGGCTCAGCTGAACGGTGGGTGCGAACACGTGGAGGCAAAAGCATGGTATATCACAGGATGGGTCGAAGAAGCACCCAACTCCATGAAACTGTGGGAAGTATGACAAGACATGGCAAAAGGGCGAGGAGAAGAACCATGTCTCAGCTCCAAGAGTCACCTTGGCCTGAAAACTGTTAGTTCCAAACACTGCCACTGGGACTGACATATTTCTACCAGTTAGGACATGTTGGGGAAGGGGTCAACGTAGGTCAACATAGGCATACCTAGATCTGTGAACTCAGCAAGGTGTCCGCCTTTTCAGCTGTAAAGCCCGCCAAAAAAGGCATAATTCCTTGGGCATAGTTGGAGAAACGTGCCATGTTGTGGACAATAGATGACGATAAAGAGTTACAGCCTCCCACTTCTTGCCAAATGCAAGCATCACAGGACCAAGCTAACGGCGCTTGGCGGCCTTCTTTTCTAATCTCGTCTATCAGGTCTCCATTTTGTATGCCTGGACTCTTCTTTTCTCTTTGGTGGTTTCAGCTCATTTGACAGTCAGTGGGATCACATCGTCGACAATACCTGTATCTGAAACCACCCAGTTTGGTTCCACACCTCCTCTGAACCGGTCACCCGCAGGTGGACGTGTGCGCCTTTGAGGATGCCGACACCGCAGGCGAACAGCTCTGCCAAAATGTCCCCCCTTGGGCGCGGCATCGGTGGTTTTCACTCCATGATGATGTCAGTGAGATTCAGTGAGTGCAGTCACACATGAATTTAACTGGCTGGTGCTTTCAACCCACTTGATAATATTGGTCAGTGGGTTCAATCATCCCAAGTAAGGGTTGAAAACATATCCGAAACCATCACCTATAGTTGATTAATGGTGCGGTCCCTTGACATGCAGGACCTTGACCTTCCAACCCCGGTGGTTGGACGCCCCGAAACACCTTGAAGAGGCGATAGACACCTCAAACGGAGGGCGCTGGTAGTTGCAGCTTGTGGCATGATCTCAAGTCGGCCGCTCAGCCGACATGTTGCTGGAAAGCGGTGAGTCTGCGACCATTCAGTGTGTGGTCCTGTGGTAAAAGGTCATCAGAAAGCATGTGTTGGAGAAAGTCCTAACGCAGGGTTGTCAGGGCTGTGGTTACCTGGTTTGCTCTTTTGTATCTATTTAATCTATTTTAGGCATTTTGGCCATGCCCCCACATCGTCAGAAGCAAGGGGAAAGACACCGTCAGAAGCAGCAAGGCTTTCACATGTCCGCAACTTCCCCTCCAACTTTGCGTGCTGGTTCACGTCTTCGACCTGGTTCTATGAGGTGGTCAACCTTCCACACCGGTGTGGTCGTGGCAGTCTGGCTGTGGAGAGAAGAGGACAGTTCACGACCAATTTCAGGCACTTGCCCCAGTGGTTTCAGGTACTTCCCTAGTGGTTTCCGGATGTCATGTATGATATCATAACATACTCACCGGAGAGAAAACGACACCCAAACACTCCAAACAGCGTATTTTCCGAGAAACGGGCAGGGGTGGTTGATTGAAAAGGAGTCCAAATGTGAGTGCAGCCCATTCCAGTCCTGTGGAGTGTCAGGGATACATCCGATACATCCTCCCTCGCAGAAAGCTTCCACTAGGACCACCGGAACATCCTCCATCCACCCAAGGCGCTGTTCACTCACCGCAGTGGGCGCCTATGCTCGGTCATCAGCGATTCAGGCAGTTGTGGAAGGGCTCGGCTTTGCATTTTTGGAGCCCTAAATAGATCAAAATGTATTGGACACCGTGCCACCATCTATTTGGGGACATGGCCCAAGTGGAAACAACATGAAACAAAACTGATGTTGTACGCAGCTTCATTACCAACACCATCCATGTATGGAATGGTATACGTATGTGTACATTCACCATCATTGACCCTATATTTATTACTTATGTACCCAAACGCTCCAAGCAGCCCTTGATCCTTCAAAACGTAGGGGGGTTGAGACCCATGTGAGGGTTAACGAGCGTCTGGATAGGTAACTATTCCAGATCCATGGTTGGTTGTGCTAAGGGACATCACAAGCGTTCGAAAGAGCACACCCATCTCACAGCTAAGCCGAATGGTCTTCAGCGAGCTGGGGTACCAAAGGTCAAGTGACCTTAGTAGTGGGGTCCCTATGGGAGTCTCTAGGGCTCTCCAACTGTTGGGGGTTGGGAATCCAACTAGTAGACCGGCCCTTGCGGGTCCGCTTCCAAAGATGACCAGTTTCATCCGTTTGGGCCATATGATGCCATATGCATATTATATGTATATACAAAATATATATGGAGAGAGAGAGAGAGACGTGCCTGCTTCGTGCTCCAAACAGGGCGAGGGATCAAAACAAAATCAACATGAATCAAGAGAACAATAAACGGACCCAAACACGCGGAGGGAAGCGCAATAGTCCAACTCGAAGCAGTGATCAAAAGAAAAACAAACAACGCATCAAAAAAACAAACAGTAAATCAACCTATTCCTTCCATCCTGCCTTCCTTCCTTCCTTGCTTCCTTGCTTGCTTGCTTGCTTCCGTCCGTCCGTCCGTCCGTCCGTCAGTCCTTCCTTCCTTGCTTGCTTGCTTCCTTCCTTCCTGGCTTCGTACCTTCCTTCCTTCCTTACTTCCTTCCTTCCTTGCCTTTCTTTGTTTCTTGTCTTTATTTTTTGTTGATGCATTTTTATGCATTTGTATGTATTTTTATTGATGAATTTATATGTTTTCTTTGATGCATTTTCACTTTTTTTGTTGATGTGTCTCCCCTCCAAACACGGCTGGAGCAGCTTGTCAAACCCTAAGTGCATGTTGTTTCTTCTTGCTCAAGGTTGTTCTGCGACCCTCGCATTGGAAGCAAGGAGCTGCGGAAAAAAGAAGACCGCGCATCCGGCTCATCCCACAGAACAATGGGGCTGTATACAGATCCGGGGGCGAAGCCAAGTACGACGTGGAGCCTCATAACTTGGCGCTCCGCACCCCTGCGCAGGCAGACCCGGGTTCTTTGCGCCTCGGAGTTCTTCTCCTTCTTCGGCGACTTCTGCTTGGCTTCTTGGGTGCTTTGAGGTGAGGACTGCGGCACCTCTCACTCTGAGCGCGGCTCCGCAGGCGGAGCGGCAAAGAGAGTGCCGTCCGGCCGAGTGTCAACGAAAAGAGGGCCGAAGGGCTCCACGTGACCCGAAAAAGGGGTACATACATGGGATAGAGATGGCCCCAAGGATCCAGTCGTACCGAACCTCAGAAGGCACCTGGACCCTCCTGGCACCTACCCCAAACACCTTCTGAGAAGGTACTTGGATCCCTAGGGTGGCTAGAGCATGTCGTGCATTTCTTCTTGGGAATTCTCCACATTTTCCCTTGCAGGATTCCGAGATGTTCACTTCCGATCGGTCGAAGTGTACCGCCCACGACCACCGCATCTGTCTCCCAAATGAGGTTCCGAGCACTGCTGGGTGTGACTTGCCAATCTAAACAGTGCAGGAACGATCCCATTCTCCTGGAGTTGGTCGTGCTTGGCCATTCTCCACGACTCCATCGTGGTTTTCAGGACCAAGGTTTTACTGGATCAGACGATCAGACTGGACCCATAGAGGGAATCTGTACGTAGGGCTTTGATTCGAAAAGAGCGCACTGGGGGGAACAACCTGACCAGCAAAGCACCGCAGTAAAGTACACAAACCAAGTGGTCATGTGGCACTTTTTACTCCCAGCGTGCAAAAACAAATGCTTCGCAGGGTGTTCACCCCATTTCTGCATCTGCTGTACCAAAAGCTTGTCTGCCACACCAGTCGCATCATGTTGCATCTAGAATCGAACGATGATGCAAGCGATTCACCAAGGAAAGCAGCTCTCTAGGCAGGGCGACCTGATGCGAACCTGCAGCTCATTGCTTCGCTTTTTGGGTGTTTCGGGTGTCCTTCCAGCCGTTTTGGGTCAACCATCAACCACCGAGTTTCGCGGCAGTCCGGGGTGGTATTGGGGGCTCTTTCTGGGGCGGCAGTCCTATGCCTATGCCAGTCCCATGAGTATCATTAGCTGTGTCTGGGACCTATTCCCGTGCTCCACCAACCACCTCTTCATCCCTTCTCCCTCGCCTCAGTCGACAGCGGCGGCGGGGGTGGCAGGGTCACGCCGGCGCCGCCGGTCGGCGGCGAATCCGGCTCAGGGGCCAAGATGTCCGCCTCAGTCGTTCAACACCCCTCAGTCGATCCGTTTTTCGGTACCGAACCGTACGGTGACCGGTGCATCCGTTCGACGGATCCGGCGCCATGGTCCAGGTCGTTTCCCTGGTACGACTGGATCGACTGAAGGCACCGAAGACGTGTCTCCAAGAGCCGACCGGCGACCGTCATACCGACCTCCTCGGCTTCCCTGGGAGTCAAAGACTAAAAACAGAATGGTCTTTAGGGGAACTGAGTCCGGGAACTTCCTTTACTCCAGCCAGTCGAAATATAGTCGAACTGGACTTCTAGGGGCTTCGAACGGGACGGGTCGAAGTCACCTCACGTCCGGTCGAAGTCGGGACCGGAAGTCGATCGGACGTGCCGTCTGGGCTTTCGGTGGCGACCGTCATACCAACCTACCTATAGTGGACCCACCAAAGGAGTTAAGAAGTTGACCCACCAAACACGCCAGTCCAAAGGGACTAAGCATGGTCAATGGACGGCCATGGACAACCACGGTCAAAGGGAAGAACCACGGCACAAAGGACAACCCAAAGTCCCACCATGTGCCAGCTACATCCTGATGGCCCAGCCACCCACATCCAGGACGATGGGAGATCGATGGGAGATCCTTTTCTTTCAGGGTCAATTGCGAAGGAACCCGAACAAATGAAATGCACCGCTCGGTCCATCTATGTGGGATCCCTGAAGTGAAGGGCCCACCACCAGAAAGAAGCCCAGAGATGTCATGGTCATCCGAGGCTGGTTAGAGGCTTGTATTAGCTTGTGTTTCTTTTGGCTTAGGCGCTTATAGGCTGGTCACAAAGGCTTATAGGTTTCCTTCATGTATCCCAACCCCCTAGCTACTGCAATCGGTCATCCGACTTCTGTGACCATCGATGACCATCAGGGAGTGCCGGCTTACCATCCCAAAGGTCGGGCAGCGTCTTGTCTCCAAAACCCCTGGGGTCCCAAGCCACATGCCGACCATGACCGGTGGTGCGCGAGTTGCCCGTGGCGCGGGAGCTATGGGACTGGCCACTCTTCACGCTGTCCTGCTGGGAGAGAACATCGCAGTGGTACCGAGCTGTTGAGAGCTGTGCATGTAGCCTTGTGGCCTGTTCAACACCGCCGGGAGGCCGTGCTGCCATGCATACCACCCAGCACAAGATGCAGTGATTCTCTCATATGGTATCCAGTGGACCCCAGGCAAACCACAGGCTTTCTCGGTCTATGGATGTCTATGTTGGGTCTTTTGGAGCCACGAGCTCTCGTGGGAACTGCCTGGATGCACTGGGCCGAGAACATCACAGCGTGTCGGTCCTCACCGGCCAGCGGCGGCGAGTCCCTGAGCGCGGCGGAGTGGCTGAGTAGCTGAGTGGCAGAGGTTCCAAGTTCTGCTGATTTGCTCTGCAGTTCATGACGGGGACTTGAAAGTGTTTCCAAATAAAGAACACGAATGCCCCATATTGGTGTCAGCTGGTTGCACTACAGAAATTCAGGGTTTCTTTTGGTTGCACTAAAGAATCTCCGCGTTTTTTTCTTGATTTTTGTTGGGTTTTTTGGAGTCGAGAGTTCTGAACAGAACTGGCTGGCCAGACCTGGCGACTCCCGGATCCAGCGCGGATCCAGCGGAGAAATCCCCGGTGGTGTGATATCCGAAGAGCGGCCGGTTTAGGCTGGCCGGGCCGGTTTAGGCCGCCCTGGGCTCCAGGTGGAGCTCCATTTCGGTGCAACTGGGAGTGACTGGGATTGGTTTAAAGGCTTTAAGTACCTTGAAGATCTTTGGAGCTCTAGTGGTAGGGTCTACTGGGGGGTTAAGTGTTGCATTTTGGGGGGCACGGCGTCATCGCAGCATCGCTTGAATGGACTCGTCCACTGACTCGTCTGTAGAGCCTACATACCTTCAGCCTGGAGAAGTGAGTGTGTGTCTGGATTCATCAGCATGTGAAACTGACCAGGAATCACACTCCGACTCCGACTCGCTCACATGGAAGTGGATAGCATGGCCACTGATAAACAAGCACCACTTCCTGTTAGTCAAAGAGTACCTTCAATATTGGAACCCTAAGAATAGCTTCAGGCTGTTGCACCCTATTTACTGTTGCAAGGAAACCAGAAAAGCACCCGATGAATGATCAAAGTTAGAACCCCCAAGAGACCTCACCCAATCTCACCAACAAGGACCCAGCCGATTGGCATGCAAAAACAGCGTGTGCCAAGCACATAGAGCTTGGAAAAGGTTTCGGATCTGTTGTAGGATGTTTGTGTCTCTTAAGGTTCAGGCTTTTGGTTGGAATTATCCTCATAGAAACCCTGGCATAAAAACACACACACACACACCTTGTGGCAGCTGGGATGAGCCCGATGACATGGTTGATGGCTCTCACGCGCGCCCCAGCCGTAGTTTTCTGCCACGACGCACGCTTCGCACAGGAGGCGGCACAGCTGGAGAAGCCTGAGGACTGTTCGACACTCTTGGTGAATTGGAGAGCTGGTAAGAACCACGGCAAAAACACCCATTCTGAAGTGAACAAATATGCAACCAAGCTAGCACTTAGACTCTTAGTGGCTCCTTGTGCCATTTCTGCACAGAAACTGGCACCTCATGGATAGCCCTGGGTTGCTATCTTCTGGTCGCCGCCTCCTAGGTGGTTTTCATGGTTGATCTTGTGCAGGATGAAGACATGGTGCAGCTTTCACAACTCACATGGGCTGAGCGCTCAAAACCAGCATCTTGAGGCCCAAAAAGGCATCGAGCTCATGTGCAATTGTCCCACCCCAGTTCACCCCACCCGTTTCCACAGTTCCGCACACCTTGCCCTTCGCAGATGGCAAGCCCGTGGTCACCGTCACCATCGCCACGCCCTCCGTGTTTTGCGGGCAAGCCGTCAAGAACAGGACCATCCAAAAGAGGGTGCACGTTGGACTCTATGAACTCCTATAGTTGGACTCTATGAACTCCTATAGGCTGTGCCTTCGACATCATCTCCGTATAAAAGCATTGCACTTCATCAGACACATCGCGACAGTCCGACAATCTGATGGTGTTTGAAGAACCACCAAACACTACATCATCCCGAGCCCCATCGTTGCTCAGGCTTTCCACTCAGCCCCAAAAAGGAATGGTGCGGGTGTTGCTTCGGGTGAAAGCCCGGAAGCCAAGCTGAGCGGCGAAAAGGCCAAACAAACCTCCGTTTTGGCAGCGTTTTGGAACATAAGTACCCTGGGAGTCAAAGACTATAAAAAGAATGGTCTTTAGGGGACCTGAGTCCGGGAACTTCCTTTACTTCAGCCAGTCAAAATATAGTCTTTGGACTTCTAGGGAGTATATAAGGTGATGACACCGATGTGGAAACACAACGATACCAGGTCAGTTGGACCTCATAGTGCTGACTGTTTTGGTCATACAATGTCATACACGACTCAATGAAGTGTTCAGGACCAGGTTTGGACCTGGACCTGTAGGGTTGGGAATCAGGGTCATGTACGGTCCGGTCATATTGACATGCCTGGAAACTGAAACACAGGAAGACATGGATGTGATTGGATGTGTCCACGTGTCCAGCGACTTGTTACGTAAAGGATCTCGATTGCCATATTGAAATTGGAACAACCATTTGTTTATATTTGTTTCTGGTTCTTTGGGTCTGCAAATGTGCAACAAGCAACTTGCCATTGAAGAATGGGGGGTCGAGGGTGCTGAAAGCAAACCCTGCCCATCGTGCTCGCTCGCTCGCCGAGCGCCTGCGGAGCGCCTTTGCGTTGGAGCTTCAAGGCCATTGACCCTTTGGGCTGCGCGATGTTCGCCTCCGCCGAGGTGTCCGGCTTCATCCGAGCTGTCCGCCGAGGTGTCCGGCCGGCGAGGCGAGGCCTTCGCTGCTTTTTCGAAGGGTGTGACGTAGCACGTCTAAGGCTGGGAGCCGCTCCATCCGGGGGTGTTCGGTTCAGGTTCCGGTGAGTGTGGTGCTTTTGTGGGCATCGCTCTTGGAGGAGAGGTCTGACCAGAACTCGGGATTTCATGTCCTTGGTGTCCTGTTTTCTACAGACTCGTCTTCAAGCCACACAGGATGCCCTACGATCCAAGTACCCTCTCAGAAGGTACTTGGACCCTCGTGGCGCCTACATAACAGAAGGTACTTGGATCCCTAGGGCATCCAGTCTGGCTTGAAGACCAGTCATGTGGATGATGCGTTCGGTTCTTCCTTTTCTTAGGTGCCGGGACTTCGACCCTAAACACCCAGAGGAACGCCAATCCTCGATCTCATGTGGCTCCTGTGCCGGTACCTCGTGGTGTTCCGGGTGAATCATCGAATGGAATCATGCGCCCATTGGATGAGAGCAAGTGAGAGTCTGCGAGTGGGAGAGTGAGTGGGTGTGAGTGTGAAGAAGTGTATGGATTGCACATGTGCTATCCAGCTTCCAGCTTTGGATGGAGTTCGTGAATGGACACTTTACCAAAGGTCATTGGTCAAATGTATATCGTGCCGTGGTAAATGAAGTTCACTCTGCTGCTCCGTCCTTCCCAAGCCACTCCTTTTACGAGCTTTGTGAGTATACCTTCTCTCCATGTGGTCACTGAGAGGTGTGCTCGCCTGTAGACTCCAAACGGCAAACAAGGAAAACGATTGAACGAACATGATCACCCCAGCGGATCCGAGGACAACCACTAGTAGTTTCGGAAACAGGGGCCCGTTCCGTCAGGTCTATGGTTTGAGTTGAACTGGAACCACTGGTTACCAGCCTCCGTGGTTTGCCTGGATGCCCTGGGAATGGGCATAGGAACGTTTGGCTTGATCCAGGTCTCGAAGAACCCAATCTCCGCCAAACACGCGAGAAGAACTGTTCAACATGTTAAAGAATGAAGGGTGGTTTCTGAGCAGCATGCTATTTATACAACATGAGTGATGATTTCCGTGGCACAGTGTCTTGACGATGTCGTGCTTTACATGTTGTAAACCCACCAATCATCACCAATCCCCCTACCTCCTGCCAGGGCCCCGCCGTCAGGCAGGGGAAAACAACAAAAACAGCAGGCCCACCTCCCCCAGCAGGGCGTCGGATTGGTGCCTGGCCCCGCCGAACGAGAAATCCTCGCGGAAGTATGTATAATCATTCTGGAGTAGGGTAGAATCCGGAATGGGTAGACGGTCATACCTTTTTGAGCATACCTGAGGGTATTCTAATACATCTACTCCAGGATGATTGAAAATCCGTCACTCCAGGATGATTGAACATCCGTGCTTTTGTTGCCAACACAGGCACGTGACGAGTGTCTTGGGCGAATCACAATTATTGGGAGAAGTTGCATTTTTCACAGCAAACCAAGGCCAAGCGCTTGCTACGTAGACTCAACACATGAAGGACCCCAGCAACCATAGGCTATTTGAATGCTTGAATCACACTCACTGGGTTCAAGTTACCAGTATAGTAGGACACCGGTGTTTCCAATGACTAAAGTGGTCAGCAGATCTGTCGAGATGTGTCTAGATCTTCTAGTAACCTGGGATTCACGGCCAACCTGTGCCAACTTCTACGAAAACTCTATGAATTTCGCACGCGAAACGCGAGCGCGTCGCTGGCGCGTGAGCGCGTGCCTATGCAGCTTGAGGATCCGGAGCACCTCTCTACAGCCAGGAGGTTGAAGAACCCCAACGTTCGACTATCTGGGTACTCCATGTGACGGGTCCTAGTTCAGGTCCCCAGGTTACACGTCCTAGTTCACCTCTGTTGGAGGTTTCTCGAAATCAGAAGCACCCACCGTCGTCTGATTGATCCCAGTTGCCCAGTCGCCTGATCCGAAGCAATGACCCAGGTTGCTTATAAAGATCCAACCAATCGTTAAATTATAATTCTTTTGGCTAACTAGTTATGGTGAAAACAAACCTAGTGGCCCTACTGCAAGTGATGCTATTAGAAAGAAGTGGCATTACAAACACCACCTGCAGGTTGCCTCCAAGAGACACTCCACAGTATTACAGCAGTGATCAGCAACAGCATCTTCAAAGCTATATAAGCAACTCTACTTCAGATCCTCACTGGGTCGATTTAGGTCCGTCACCAGCCCAAATGGAAATGATGAGTTCTTTGGCCAGTCCCATGCCTTGCTTTAGGTTATATACCATTTCAAGACTCTTCTACGCCTTCTTATAGCTCCATTCACAAATGATGGTTGACATGATCATGATCGAAGTAAGTTTGTGCAGGTCGCCCCCTTCACATCCCTTCACCACACTTGCAGCTCCCATCGTCCACATAGCTGGCGGTTGGAGGTAAAGGGAGGGCAGTGGCTCAAAAGTGAGGTAACCCAAACACTCCATGTATAGTCTATGCATGATAGAATGTTTACTTGCATTAGGGGTGGTTTCAGGGATGAGGCCACATGGCAATCATGGCAAAAGGAAATCTGATCTACACCCCGTAGATGCAAACCGTGAATGAATAGTAAACCCTTTTCAGGCCCGGAGATGTCAAAAGATGTGGTGAAAGGGACTTCTCACCAACAGTCTAAGTTCTTGTCTGAGATTTTGAGTCGCCTTGGTCTTGGCCCCCATCTCCGTCAAGGCGCAGCCCCTTCACGGTGTGGTGGCTGCGGCACAAAGAGCACCTGGCGACACTGACACTCAGCGCGTCGCAGGAAGCATCGAGCCCCGACTATTGTCCCATCGAATCTCCTAGGCTTCCAACAGCCATACATTGATATTGTTCTTTACCAAAAGAACAATTGTTGAACTAAGGAATTTGCACTACTGTACAGCAACAGGTCAACCTTTCTTTTAAAGGTCTTGGAAGGCTAGGGTTACAGTAGCACATCTCAGCACAGGGTCATGGGAACATCTGCGGCGACAAAGTAACAAGCCTACCATCCAAGCCCTGCAAGCAACACCCCAGAACAAGCAATCACTGATGTCAAATCCTTAAAATTACCCTTCTCCATCAACAAACACCCAAGTTTCCAGGAGCTTCTGGGGCCGAAGCTACAGCTACAACTGCCTCCACCTCTGTCACCTCTGCGGGCTTCACCTCGTTCAGTGTGATGAGATCCCCCTGCCCCTCCGGCACGCTGAAGGGCGGCGTGCGCCTGGGCACGGCGAGGGGTCGGTCGGCTGCGAGGAGTGGATCTGGGGGGTTCAGCCTGCCAGGTGCAAACCGGGACTCATGTTTCTTAGATTTGTTTAAGGTTTAAAGCAGGAATTGGAATAGAAATCCCAGCGTTCCACCAGTTCAGGTGCTGAACACTGCCAGGTTCCCCCACCATTCCCCACTCCGCTGAAGCACTGCTTCGGATATTTTTTCTGGAGAAGGGTGAAGTGAAACAAATGGAAAGTCTCCGATTCAGGTACTGGGAACGAAAGATAAAGCCAATTAGCTCCCAAATCAGAAGTCAAGAACTCCAAGTCCTGCCTCAAAAGATCTCGCTCAGCACAAATGCTGGCCGGGGTGGCAATGACGGCCACAGCAATCTCGAGAGAGGGTGTTCGGACGCCCGACCTCCGACCTCCGCCCCGGTGGTGGAAGATGCGTGTCGATCTGGGTGGCGAGCATCGTCTTGTTGCCACTCTTCACCTGCTAAAAGTCGAGGGCGATGTCAGGGGACGTTTTGCTACATCTGACTCCATGTGAGTTGTTTTCAGGGACCGAGTGGAGATAGTTCCTCTTCTTTTAGGAGGGTGCTAGGGGTATGCTGCGGCATCCAGCCACCCCAATCCTCCTCGCAATCCAATCCCCGGAACTCCTGGGGGAGGCTAGGGGTGCCTAACTGGGTGCCTACCAATCACCGGGATTCGGTGGAAAACACCTCCGATCCACGACTAAGCCGGGACCGCCATCAGACTGCCCCAGAAAGGCCCCCCCTGGCACCACAAGCGCCAACCGGTCCGAACCTTGGCAGTTAACTCGGCCGTCCCGAAAAGACCCCATCGCTGCGTCTGAGTATTGAACGCCTCCTAAAGAGGTTGAAGAGCCCCAAGGTCGCCCATCACCACAGACCAGGGTCCGAACGTGAAGCGGTCAACCTCTCTTGGCTGCTCCCGGTTCGACCCAAACAGTCCACAGGACTGGACCCGGAATGGACCCGAAGGAACCCGAAAACACCCCGGCGCCCCATCGGTCGGGGCACGGCGCGCACGTGCTGTATCACCTGCTGTTTGACACCCACCCGATCACAATGTACATCAATGTGTCAATGTACTTTGAAACCAGGTCAAGCCAGTGGCTTGGGGTCTGGTGCTTTTAGTTGCGTGGGGGGATGCGTCCAAGGCTTCAATACAATCGCAGAAGATGAGCTGGAACTTCATGTTCGATCATTGCTATGCAACCTGCGATGTGTGGTGGCCAAGCACCTGACCAAGTACCTGCGCCATACCTGACACCCGCAGATCTCCAGGTCGCCCCCTGGAAAAGGACCGGTTACAAAGGATTGAGAGGACAGTAGATGGCACAAACGGCCCCCCAAGTTAGGTGGTTGAGTAGGGGAACCCCATCTACAGTATGTCGGACATCTTGGGGTCGCCATCGAACCTCTGGAGAGATGACGGTTAAGTTGTATACCTCTTTCCACCTGTTGGATTTGGAGTGGGGTGCCTGTTACCCCGCCCCAAGGCCGGCCAATTAGGGCAGGTGATAAGCGAAGGTGATGGATCCAATCCCCACATCTGTGGAGCACAGGTGGGTGAAGGACATGGTCACTCCATCCTCGTTCAAGATTGATGGGTATACATCCTTTGCATTCAATCTGGCCATATCTCCAGCACCATCACGCATCTATCTCACGAAACCCAACAGGCTGGGAGGGCCTCGTCTGCCCGGCCACACGGATTGAGAATCCAAAAATGATCAAAAATGCATATACTCATACCAGGACCCTCCGACAGGTCACCAATAGAGACCTGTTAGGGCCTAACAACCCTCAACTAACAGCCTGGCCAGGAGGGTCCTGGTACTCCCTAAGAAGATCATGGTTACGTGGCCTGATTTTGGATGATCATGAAGTCCTCGATAGCAAACAGCTGGTGCCATTCACTTCGATGGAGTGCACAGGGCAGAGAAGGGCCTCGAGGGCCCCCCGGAACGAACATGGCGAGTTCATCCCCGAAGGGTTTGGTCTTCGGGTGTTTGGGTCTTCCTTTCCGTGCCATCCACTTCCACTTCCACCCAAACACTCCATGCGACTGGAATCGATGCCCACATTGACCCCTTCTCAGGCCCACCCACCCACCTCAGGGAGTGGATCCCGTCTGTCCGTCCACCGGACCGGACCGCCTCCACGACCAGGTTTCGCAGGTGCGGATCATTTCCATCCTCAGCTCGACCGGAGTGGAGGCTCGGGTCGAAGAAGAAGCAGCTCTTGGATTTGGGGCTGGAAACCGGAAAGGACATCCTTCCCATCTATTCTCCAGAGTGAGATGTGCCCATCTGGAACATCCAACACCCTCAGTGATGCAGGCCCAGGCCCAGACTTCTTCCTTCTTCTTCCTCATCTACAGCTGGTTTCCAAGCTTCGTCTCTTCTACGCTTCCGTCTCAGTCACGGTATACTGTATCCACCATCAACACCAGATCTACATCCAATTTGACCAACTCCTCTCGCCTCTGGAGTCTGTTCGAAACCAAAATGGGCACCTTCCAGGATCATCCAATGGGTGTCCAATAGACTACCCTATCCTACGTAAACAGGTCTCCTACTCCAGGGCACCCGGACAGGAAGTGCTAGGTTTGCATGTCTGTGGGTCACACCGATCCACAGCAAGACACTTGCGAACGACCTACCTACCTGTGTCGGTCTTTTTCACGCCCATGGTGGAGCAGACCTGCGGTCGGTGGGTCACAACCCCCATCTCCCCGACGGTCCGCGGCACCTTTTTCCTTCACGGTGCGCGAAGAACGCTACGCGACGCGCGACGAACGCTCTGTCCCTAGAGGATCACTTCAGCTCCGTTCCTCAGCAAGAAGAGGGTTGGAGGACGAAAGATCGAAAGGAGAATGAGCAGTTAGGTCAGCATGCTGAAATAGTAGCGCGGATTCTATGATGATCTATGTAGCCCACTGGGGTTACAACCTACTATTACAAGCAATCATGCCCGCGGCTTAGGAAGTGTTCAATTGAAATCAAGCAGGTGAATGCAAATTTGATGTTAAGCAGCTAGAACAAAGAAGAACTGACGCGTTTAGACCACACGCTCCTCATCTCATTAGCTGGTCGTTGTGATGATGGAGACCCGGATTTCTGTGTTTTCAGCGTACAGACGGCATCATTGTAGTATTTTTTAGATGCAGGGTCAAGGAGCTCCCGAAGCACCTATTCAGGTTGCTGAATTGCTGCAACTACTTGGACTTTCTGTCAGGGAACAAAACACGATTCCCCAATGTCCGGGGCGGTGCGAAAGACGCATCACCCTCAGAAAAACTAGGCCGGAGATCAAGTCAGGCTCCTCATCATGGTTCCCTTTAAGGAGCGGATCGAACCAGTGGATGGACATGGACATGGGGCAGGTCCAGATGAAAAATGCGCCAAGTGTGACTGCGAAGAACAAAAGGAGTAGGGAACATTTCAGCAACTGTTGAAGTTAGTACATGGATGATCCATCTGGGTCACAGATTTGGTAATGCCATGCCATGTGGCAACTGTGGCACACCTCTCGACCGACCTACACATCTACCTATACCCCCATATAGATAGAAAAGTAGATCCCCACTATCTAGGTAAACATGGTTTTTCCCCTAGCTCTATTAGATATGGTAGATCCCTAGTTTCTACCTATATAGATCCCCCAGAAATGGGAAACCGCGGCATCCTATTTATCTGGGGGTTGCTATAACTACCTATAGCTCTTAGCTCTTGGCTCGCACACGGATGCCTCCGTCTGACGGCACGGATGCCTCCAACTCCAACGGCCAAGGCTCCAGTCGACCGATGCCTCCTTCCATTTCGTCCGGATACATCGATCGATCATGGACTCGCCCTCCTGGAGGGAGCTGGCTGATGGATCGAGCAGATCGACCGAGACCTGCCTGGTGGAAGAAAGGGAACGGAAGAAAGAGCAACACTGATTTATAACCAGCACCCGAGACCTGCCAGGTCACCACCAGGTCCACTTTTAAGTCTCCATTTCAGCTACCATTTTGGAGACCTGTTTATCGTCGGGTGCTGGTATGGGATGGTATGGGTGTGTGTTTTCATAGGGAGAGCCTCCCAGCCGGTGGTGTTTTTGGTCCATGATCCTTCTTTTGAGGGAGTCTTTAGGGGGGGGGGGTCTGCCGGTCTCCCTATTTCAATACACACAGAAACGGCAAGACTAGTGGCTGGATCCTGTTCGGTCTCCTGTTCGGGTGCTGGGGGGGGGCTGGCCGGCCAAAGCGTGGGTGATGATTCGTCAAAGCAAGCGTCTGCAACCGTGATCCGCAAAGTTGTTCTGAAAAGCTGCAGATCCTCTACTTGAAAGAAGGAATTCAGGTAGATGTTGCCATAAAACCTGACATGAAGCCATAAGTGCCAGAGTAAGGTCACCTCGGACCCTTCTTGATGTACCCATCATGTACCCATCATCTTCTCACCATTTACATCTCTTCTGACTCCACAGGTGCCAAGATCAGCCAGATCTACACATCCATCACCACTTCCACCTGGACCCTTCTTGATGTCCAGCTTCTCACCTGCTCCATCTTCAGCCAGATCTGCACATCCCACCTCCCACCCCCAACTTCCCAGTTCCCCCCAGTTCCCTGTCCCAAGTCCCCTGTCCCAGTTCCCTGTCCCCAATTCGGGAAGCCTGGGTGCCTTGCCCGGGGCCTCCTCCGCCCGGCGTTCGATCCCGGGCGCAGTTCCTCGAAGCCGGTAGCCAAATGCGAGGGCAGCTGCTTGGGCACCACGGTGAGGCGGATCCGCTCGTTCTGCCGCGCCAGCCTCGGAGGGGACATGGAGATAGGTCCGAGCTAAAAAAGGTGCGAAGGGTCCACAAAAGAAACCCTACAAGTCAGTTAGACCACATGAAATACTGGAGAGGGTCATACAAAACCGATACGGAACAATAGGAGGTAAAAGACCAGGTTTGGACCTGACCTGGGTCAGACTGGACTTGTAGGGAAAACTCCCATAAAAAGCTACGATATGCTACGATAGATCATCTGGGGTTGTCGTACAGGTTTGGGCTTCGGACAAAATCGCCTGGGACAACGTCTGTAAGAAAATTGAGATGTCGAATTTCAAGCTATGTGATTGGCTCTTGACATCGGCATCTCCAAGAAACACATGAGAATAGTTGGATCATCCTGTCTGGGTGTCCAGTGGAGGTGCATAAACAGCGTGGGGTAGACACCCAAACAGGATGACCCAGGTAGTCTTGGGATGACCTAGGTAGTCTTTGTCAAATCTTTGATTCTGGATTCTGCATCAGTCAGCTCTGTGAGCGCTTCTGTGAGAAGGAGCAAGCCACAAGGACCCTAAGGACTCACGACACTCACCTACGAATGCAAAATGAGAACGCTTGTTAAGGTTACATTGAACGGTTATAATATATATATATACATATTATATGGCTCAATTTGGAGCCACTCAGAACACAAGCAGTTCACATCCTCAGTGTCACAGAAGCAAACATTCAAGCAGTGCGTGAAACAAACACTTCTGCCTCTCAACTCGACTCAACCCATGCCTCTTCCTGCCTCTTCCCCCAAAACGCCCTGCAAACACCGTCTCAAACACCTCTTCTGCTTAGGCGCTGATCGAAGTAGAACAGGTCTAAGACCTTCTCCGACTCCTGTGGGTTCACGGTCCCATCTGCAGAGAAGAGCACCGTATAGTGACTCTCTGCGCAGATCACCCACACCGGACAGGTGGGACCTTTATAGCCTCGGCGCTTGCCGCGAAACCGCGGCCCCCCTCCGCCCTCCCTTTTTCCACCCAAATGAGTGGGGGAACTAATCCACCAAAAGGGATGGAAGAAAACAAATGAAAACAAAAAGCCAAAAAAAGCCTATATCCATCTATATCCTCTGAGTCGGGGGGCGAAGGCTGTCACTCTCTAGACACGAGCCAGAGTGGGGACCAAGCGTCAGAAACGCGACAGGTCAAAAAAAAGGATATCCTTCTTGGCATACCAAGAGAGGTCGAGAGACCTGAACTGGGGCCCTGTAGTATATATGCAGGGATGCAGGGATAGGCTACAATAAGGCTGTTCAGCCTGTCTAGACTCGGCGTGGGTGTTTGAGAGTGGCATCTACAACATCTTTGGAAGGCCTATTGCTTGTGGCCAACCCTCAAATGCCCCCTCAAATGAACACAGCGCACTCCCCAAACCAGTCAAATCGCCTGCTAACAGCTGAAACTGTGAGGCTTTTTGTTAGCCTCAGGGGTAAGCATTGCGTCACTGGTTGGCCCATGTCCGCCGTTTCTCACCACGACATTCCCATCCCTTCCCCGCGTCGCACGAGGGCCAAATATCGACTGACCCAACCAACCACCTATAACCAGGCGAGGCACGTCCACCCACCTCAATGCAAGCATACGCTTCAAAGAGCGACAGGAAACCAATGGAAGGCCTTTTCGGCGCGCCCTGCAGCGGGGGTTGACGGGGTGCTGGCGGAGGAATTTGGGGCCACAGGCGGCGGCTGAAGTTCAGTGGATCCCAAACAGCCACCCAGCTGGATCCCAACCAGCCAAGCAATTGGATCTAATGAGGGTGGATGAAGGGACTTGGGCAAAGGAATCTTGTTTGATCTTTTTTTGTTTAAACATGATTTTTTTTTGTCTCTAATGATTCAATGGAATTCCAGGATTGCTAGCATCATGCCAGCAATTTTGGGTCGGTAGGACATCAGCTGCGAATTCGGATCTTCGACCGGTCGACCGGTCCGGCACGGCACCCGTGCGTCGAGTCCGAGTGACCCCGGCACCCATGCGGACGATGGGGCACCGGCGCCATGAGGTTCTACCCCGAAAACGGCGCCCGGAGTAGGCACCTTTCCTGGTGGTCGTCTATGTGATGCTTCATGTTCTTCTGTGCTGCCCAGGTTTTTTTCAGTTGGGACCCACATCCGCCGTTGGCCAACTGGCTGAAAACTCCAACGACCAATCGACCGGGTGACAGCACCGTTGCATGTAGAAAAACAGGGATCATCACCATGACCTTCTGAGAGGTTCAAAGTAGAATTTTTGAAAACGAATCGAAAGTTAGATGATGTTAGATGGTATGCCCCCCCCCAGTTAGCCAACACGAAGAAAGAGAGTCGCCTGCAGCACTAACCAGCCATCCTTGGCGCTGCCTAAGCGCTTGGTGCCATCAAAGACATTGCCTGAGTGGAGGC